ATAATGAATGGTTTGCGGTGAGAATCATGAGTGACTGATTTTTGTAAAGCTGTAACGTCAGCGCGGGGCTCAGTGAGGAGGCCCCTGTGTCTCTGGGGCCCAGGTTAAAGGGTCGCACAACATTCACTGGTGCAAAGGTGTGAGTGGATCAGGTGACCGGCTGCCCCATGATGACCTCACTCTGCACATGCTCACAGGCCACTGACACTTTCAGCACTTCTGTGTCCCAAAATCCTGCAGCACCAGCACCAGTGTCTGTCTGTGTGCGTGCGTGTGTGTGTGTGTGTGTGTGTGTGTGTGTGTGTGTGTGTGTGTGTGTGTGTGTGTGTGTGTGTGTGTGTGCGAGTGTGTGTGTGTGCGAGTGTGTGTGAGTGTGTGCGTTTCTCACAGCAGCGCGGTGACCTGCACATCGCACCTACATCAGGATACATGGAAGTGGCAGCTGCAGGCACCAGTCAATGACATCAGCGGCAGTGGGTGGTATCTCTGTCTCTGTGCTGTACGTCACAGTGAGTCGTGCTTCAGACCAATAGGACCGGGTCAGTGCGGCTTCAGCGGTGTTACCTGACCTTTTTGAGCCGAGGCAGACCTTGATCATTCAATTCAATTCAGTAAATTTTTGTGTAGCCCTAAATCACAATAGTAGTAATCTCTGAGGTCAAATGTGCCAACTCAGATCAGAGAATTAAACAGTTCAAACTCCATAAATGTCCATAAATGTTGATTAAGTTCATAAATGTTGTCGAGTGTCCTGGATCATCATCATCAGCATTGGTATCTGCTGCTGGTGTGCCATGCCTTTTTACCATGCAAAATCATTTTCAGGGCCTTTCTGAGTGGGTTTGCATGTTCTCTCCATGTCTGTGTATGTTTGCTACCACTTAAAGTATGTACAGTACACTATCTCCCCTCTTTCTGGAGCCAGGTCTTCCCTGAAAAAGAGATGCCCAAGTTGAATAAATGCCAATAAATACAATTTTTGTGCAGAATGAGATGCTATAAGATCATATCCAAAGGCACAAACAGCATCTCAAGGCACACTGGGTGAAAACGACTGAGCTACAGCACAAATTCTGTAGAGTTTGGTGTTGTGTGCTCTGTAAAATATGCATCAAATCAGATCATTGTGGATTGGCTGAACGAATGGTCTTTAAAATGTCCCACAGAGATCCCTGACCAGATCCAGGTTGTACTTTAGGAACGTGGTACTGTACTTGTCACACACACACAGGTCTCCCTCTGACCTCGCTGCACTGTGTCAGAAATCAAAGCACTTTTCACTTTCAAGTTGAACAGTGAGGAGGTGTGTCTGAGTCATACAGGTGTGACATGTTTGAGTGCGAGCTGTAAGATATGCAGGATCTCTGTGTTCATTTCGCAGCATCTGGCAGCTACTTTGGTGACTATGTTATGTTGATACTAGCGCTTCTCATAATTTGACATTAGACATGATACACACCCAGGTGCACTAGGGATTTATAACCAAAAAACATACAGTAATTATAACATATGCACATGCTTTTCTTTTCCGATCAGATTCAGATTCATTTTATTTGCCATTTGCATTAAAACCACATTGGAATTCATTAGCATGTATATGACTTTCTATATACACCCTAAGATGTCAATGGTAATATATCAGTACAGCAGCCCACAATATTGATACCAAGGCCGGTATCAATCCTGTCAAGTCAACTTTATTTATATAGAACATTTCATACACAAGGCAACTCAAAGTGCTGAGCAAAACAAGATAGAGACAGTCACACACATAAATAACCCCAGTACATTAAAAAGAGTGAATATAAAATCCCTCAGGCACAGCTAAACAGAACTGCTATTAACCTAGATTTCAACATTGTCATAGAAGAAGCCTGTCTCACATTTTCAGGGAGACTCTTTCAGATTTAAGCTGCATGATTCTGAATTTTTGCCTTTAGTTCTGACTCTTGGCACCAGCAGGAGGCCAGTCCCTGTGCTCCTCATCTAGTATAACACATTTGGATTATTTAAATACGACACCACAAAGAGAAACAACACAAAAGTTCTGCACAAGTGTTTTTTTTCTCATTGCCTGTACGTCATCAATGATAAAATCCTTCAGAAGAACCAGAGATTAGATTGGACCAGACTCAAACGGCCCTTTACACCATGAGGCTTCATGTTTCCCATTCTGATCCGTGTTCCTCTTGTGTGTATGTGTATGTGTGTGTGTGTGTCTCTTTCTTGTGCATGTGTGCCGTGCTCCCAGTGGTTCGCTGTAGCACTGCGGAGGCACTGCAGCTCCAGGTCAATGACTTCAACCGCTGCAGCAAACTCATCACTCAGCTGTCATCTGGAGCTGCTCATACGTGGTCTGTAGTCCAACTCCCGCCTCCATCTCTGTGTGGAGCCAGAGGACAAACGCCCAAAATAACTAAAAAAATCAATCAATCAAGTAAATCTTTATTTGTAGCGCAGATTTAAAACAGCTCACGCTTACGCCAAAGACAGTAAAAATCAGAACAATAGAAATACATAAAAATACAGAAATATATATATATACACACATAAAACAAAATCTTGTCTCTTTCTACGTGTAATAATTGTAAAGCGCTTTGTGACTCTGGTCTATGAAAGGTGCTATATGAGACAATATACAGTATAAAGATTACTACTCAACTCCACAAAACACACATTATAATTTTACACAAATATAACCAAAGGCAAAATCCTCAGCTTTGTAGCAGCACACACAGCCTTCAGTAGAGGCTCAAAATCTCCAAAATCCTAAAAATAGACCTGGGCTCATTACGTCTGTTATTATTAGACAAAACCATCCAGGGTGAATACTCATCAGATATAAAAAATAAAGAAGGGGACGATAGCAGGGACAAAAGCAAACAGAACCAAGACTAAGATAAATATGCTCCTGAAAAATATTTTATAGACAACAAAAAATGATTCTACACTCTTTTGTAAGTACTAGAACCATAACTTATATATAGATAGATAGATAGATACTTTATTGATCCCCGTAGGAGAAATTCAGGAGTCCAGTAGCAGCAGAAACACATGCACCAATACAAACAAAACTAATATATAGATAATTCAAAAAGCAGCTAACAATAGTATTAACTATGACATGTACCGGCTCTCTCCCTCCTTCACTTTGACACATGCACAGAGATGAATGGAGTGCAGAGCTGTTAATGTTGGCTCATCACTAAAGAGAGTAAAACTTTTGCCTTTGAATGTTCTTAGTTCTGTTCTGCACAGCTGTGGCAAACATGGCCTCCACTGCTGCAGCACCAGTCCTCTAAATGTGCCCACGCTTTCTTTCTTTCTTTCTTTGGTGTGTGTGTTTCTTTCTCCATCTTTGTTGCTCTCCCCTCCTTCTCCATCTCCATCCTTGCTTCCACGCGGCCTCCTCCTTCCTCCTCCTCCTCCTCGGTCCAGTCGCAGCTGAATGATGCAGTGATTCATAGCTGCAGTAGGCACGGCTTGAGAGTCATGTGACCAAAGCCTGCCTGACAACACGGAGAACAACACAACGCTGCTTCTGAGCTCGCGCCGCACACAAACACAGCGGCGCATGCTCCCTACGTGCTCGGGATCGGAAGCAGTGACGGTTGCTTGTGTCTCTGCACCGTCACAAATGCAGACACACATACACACACACACACCGGTACAAGCTACATTCGGTGCATTGTAAACAGTGCGGCGTATCAACCATAGTAGCCATGTATTATTCATGTATATTGTACAGACGCTAATATTCAACACCTGCAGTTCTCAACATATCCTTTGGCATTGCACCGGTTACTATCTTTCTCTTTTGTTTAATTGTGTTGACATAATATTAATAAATCCATCAATCAATCAAATGTATTTATTAAGCACAATTTATACAGTGCAACCCAAAGTGCCACACAGGCCAAACTCAATACACGGCAATGATAAACAGACAATAACACATAAAAACAGTTCAAATATGCATCAAACAGATCTCAAAAGTAAAAAAAATTTTTTTTAAAAAAAAATCAAAGTCATAAGTATGCACAGCTAAATGAGAGTTTTTAACCTGGATCGTGTTTTGTCTTACAAGATGTCCAGATTTTGGCCACATATTCAAGTAACATTGTAACTTTCCCGAAATGTCTATTTTCTGTTGCTGGTAAAAAACGTATTGCATTGTGATATTTTTCTATTTCTCATTTTATGTGGCAATGTCAGGGGCAACAGTGGCTCAGTTGGTAGAGCATTGGCCTTTGAGCCTGAAGGTCGTGGGTTTGAGCCCACCATGAGACCTTCTCCACCGACTCTCACTGATGACTGCTGTCGTTGTGTCCTTGGGCAAGACCCTTAACCCCACTTTTCCTGAACTCCCTGCTGAAAGATCAAGGCAATGCCATGGAGCAGGCGTCCTCCTGCAGACTCACCACCCGCAGGAGGATCAGTGAGGGGCTGGTGCTATATGTGTACCCCTGACCCAGAAATGCATTAAGGGGTAGAAAATGGATGGATGGATGTGGCAATGTGTACAGATGGTCTTTCTTCAGTCATTTGTCGATGAATCAGTCCATAAGGTTGCCCCTTATGTGTGCTGAATTAGTTGTTTTTACATTGAATTGCAGTTTTTGAGATAAAAGTAAGGCGAGTGAGGACAAGTTGACTTTTAGGGATCAGTACACAAGGCAGCTCAAAATGCTCAACAAATGAAGAAACAACTGTACAAGTTATTCAAATCTTTTAGAATCACACAAAACATTGAAGAGAGTGAAGACACAATCCTTCAGTTGTTTGCACACAACTTGGAAGTAATAGTTTTGAGAGTTTTTGCAAGCCATCTATTGATCAACATAGACTTTCTCTGGTACTTACAGAGGAGTGACTGGACATTACTGTTACATCAACATTGTAAAGCTTGTAATTACTTCCAGCTACTGCAGTATTGGGTTTTCCTTGTCATGTAACATTCCTGTGAAATCTCTTCTCTTCCTTGTCGTGTCTTTGTGCAGGTGGAACTGGGCCGGAAGCAGGAAGTGGTGGTTTATGATCAAAGCTCCAAAGAAGCGGGGCAACTGTCCAAAGACGGCTTTATGCACATTCTCATGGGAAAGTTGGAGAGCACCTTCTACAAAGTGTCTCTGCTCACAGGTATGTCGTTCACAGCCCTCATTCACCACAGTAGCCTCAATAAAATTATCATTTCGCAACAACAGATGAGAGAATCAACCAATATACAGCATAGGAGCATTTTAAAATACAGTAATTTCTGGTAATTTTTATAATATCTCGACTTCATCTGGAATTGCCACAACTTAGACTCACAATGTTGTTCATTTAAAGCTTGGGTACCTATTTTTCTTTACATAAATAATCCATGTTGTTTGTTCCAACAGAAAAAGTAAAAATCCTGTGAATTAATTGAGCCACAACATGCTATCAAATTAGACATTTTGCGTACTTGTAAGAAAGAGCCCTGTGAGTCACCCTTTTTTGACGCTTTGGGCTGAAAGCTGATTGGCTGAGAGAGGGGGATCCTTTCTTTTGCACCTTTCTGTCAGAAAAAAACAGAAAAACAAAATGTGTGAGAGGCCATGCGCTTGCAAACTCGAAACCAACTGTTTAGAGCGCAAAGGACTAGTTACATGGATAGTTACATGTTTTGTGGATTGAAAGTCGGGTACCCCAGCTTTAGCAAGACTCAAATAACTGAATAACCATAAGCAAGACATTTATCGTATTTTAGCATCCAGCTGCCAGTCTCCCGTTCCATGCAGGCCTCAACCCAAAAACTACTACCCAAACTTGTCCTTGCTATATATAATTTAGTATATCTTCATTTAGTACTTATCACATGTACAAATTTGTATTTATTCCAGCATTTTCTATTTTCATTTCTCGTTTTGACATTTTATAGATGTGTTATTTGAGTGTCATGGCAGTGTTCGGTCAGCAGAGGCCAGTAAAGAAAACCCTATAGCAGCCATTCAGCTCTATCTTTTTATACTATCTCTAAATCAGCTGTCACTTACAAATGGAAAGAAAATGTCATGTCTGTGTACTGGCTTTTTAGCTAGACGCTTTTTTACTCATCAAAGTGCTTAAGTCCCAATCCTCTCCTCATTCAAAACACTAATTATCCTGTCACAGACTCTGCTAAGCACGTCTTAAACCGGAGCCCTGGTTGGTCTGTTAATAGCCGTGTTGAGTCCGTCACTTCTGAGTCAGTGCGACGGCTGCTTTTGGGGCTCTAGTTATTCACAGCAAGAGAGAAAATCCCTCCCGAGATTGTAATTCTGACATTAAAGATAGATACACAGCTCAATAATCAAACATAATTATTGCACTATTTTACAAGGACACTCCCATTCAACCTGCATTCATTTTTCATGCGTTTGAAAGTTAGGTACCCCAGCTTTAAAAATGTCGAAGATATAAATGAACGCATACTTTGCAACTTGCTGATTCAAACACATGATCACACAGTAAATGTTAATTTTTTTTCTATGTGCTTCATTTAAAATTTGTCTTTTATTAGGTTGCCTTTATTTATTTGTTCTATCACCTGCTGAATTAATAAATGAATAAACAAATACATTGGATTCTTAAAAATATGGAGAAACTTTAAAAATTATATTGCTTATTTCTGCCAATATTGAACAATTGAACAATATTAACTATTTCCCTCTGGTTTCTCATGTTTTCCCCAATAAAATTCTTATAATTGCAGATAAAGATATTTTGCTTTTTTATTTTTGTTTGGTTTGAAAGTCAGGAACCCCAGCTTTAAATCAAACATTTCAAAAACTATTTACAAAGGAACCTAAATAACCTTCTTCTTTGCAACTTGCTGATTCAAACGACAACTTCATTTTTGATTCAGTGACATCTTGCAGCCCGGGTATTGAGACATTTTTAAAAAAAAATTGCGTCAAAATTGAGTTTGCAAAGTCAGTACCGGGGACAACTTTTGAAGGAAGAAGCTTATGTTGAGTCTGTCCCAGTTGTGTCAGCGCAAGACAGCGACACATAATCCACATCAGGGAGATTGTGCGCACACTGGACCCGGGCTCCCCCTCCCCTCCCCCCCCTCTTCATCATTCTTTATCTTCAGATTAACTTCTCATGAGTCATTTTTCACCGAGTCGAAATACAGCATGAAATCCGTGCCTTGGATAATTGGTCCTATCGCAAAAAAACAAAAAAACACGCAGGCACACCCACAGACGTTTCTGATCATCTTAACCGTGAGGAAATACTTGGAGCCTTTCTCATTTCCCTTATTCTCGTCTGTTTCCAGGACGACGGAGGCAGAGAGCCGGCCCCGCACTTAGGGATTGGCTGTTGTTTTTGGGTTCCTTGTGTTATTGGGGTCAGTGGAGCTTGCGGTTATGTAGTGCCACAGACAGAGCGGTATACAGTAAAGTACAGTCTCTTTCACATATTTAACATTGTGAGAATAGTTTTGGGGGTTAGACGCAGGGTTCAGTGAAGGGCGTTGAGCGAGGACATTTCAAGCAAAAAATCTCAAACAAAAATAGAGTTGAATCGTGCACATGGCCTCTCTCTATAAGACAAAGATTCAGAAATGTCAGTGTTGCATCACCAATTACAGGACTGCAGGGATGATGGGCAATCATCACTAGAAAAATCAACTAAAAATTAAATAAAATGTCTAACTTTTGCACATTAAAGAAGCAAGTATGAAATGTCTAACTTCATAATAAAGAAGCAAGTGTATAGTATATCTGAGTATTGTTTGGTTTTTGAATTATGATTAACCAATGGAATAAGCAGTTTTAGACTTATATCAGTCACAATAACATTTTCGCCCTTCAAACCACGTGGAAATTTGCATGTCATTTTCATATGTTCCATAAAACAAGACCTTTTACAGTGTGTGTTCCACTAGAAAATAATGTTTTACAATATTAGAATCAAAATGAAAACTACTTGCTTTAGTGCAGTAGCGTATTTAATATCCTGTATGGAACCCCCTATAACATTTACCAGGGCTTATTTTATTTTATATTATTTTATCTACATATATATATTTCAGGCAAACACAGGAGCAACACAGTTATTATCAAGAAAAACAAACCTATAAAAAAATCACAAAAAATATTTTGCTTTAAAGAGAATATATATTTTTAGATTCAGGCTGAACTTAGTGTGAAATGTACTTAACTTAACCTTTTATTCAACTCTGCCTTACACCCCTGGTTGGGAAACACTTTTGTACGCAAAGCAGCTCTGTTTTATCTCCGTGGGATCCGACTTTACAACCTGCTACCCTCTAATTTTGCGCGGTCCAAACTCCAAACGCTGATGATTCCTGTCATAGCTCAGCCGTGCTCTCACTCTGGAAATGTGCGCTATGAACTGAATCTTAAACATTTGCAAAACTCCTCTTTCAAATGTCACTGCGTCTTAATGTGAAGTGTCGAGTTTCTGAATGCAAAAGGCCAGTTAGACCCGCCCCCACACCTCCCTGATTGGACGTAATGCTGAGGCCTTTTCCCATTGGTCAAAGTATTCTCCTCCAGCCACTATTGCTGGTGGCTATTCCAAGGAGAGGGACGGCTTTTAGTATATTATTTATGAAAAATACTTGATTTGAATCAGGGGTGTCCAAACATTTTAAATATGTCCAATGCCTGACAACAACGGTTTTGACAGTTTTTGGTCTTCTGTGATCTTTAAAATGTCAAATTAATGTAGCTACAGTCATGTATGGATTTTTGTGACAAAATCAAAAACCAATGTCTGTCTAAACTACTGGATTTAGATGTTCTGTCAATAATGTCGATAATGGCTGAGCTGAAGTTGGCTGGATGACACCATGAACTTGTGTTTATGATCTTAAAGGCGACATGAGGTTATAGCGAGGCAGAGGGCCACATGACATGACACAGGGGGCCGCAGTTGACCCGCGGGCCCTAGTTTGGACACGCCTGATTGAAATAACACACATGGGTCATAAGGTCAAAAATATATTCCTATAAAAATTATATACAATCGAAGTTTCTGATATCATCTTTGTAATGTGACGTTCAGATGCAAAAAGGAAGGGATATGACATTTGATTGGACATTTAGAGATTCATCATTTTTAGAGAAAGCACTGAATTATTTAGATTTTTGTTTGTATATATATTGTAATATTCTTCCCAAAATGAAATAAGCAGGTATTTCAAAGCCATGTAGTAAAACTATTCTATTGTATTATCCAATGATTTTTGTTGTTGTTATTATAGGGGTAGAAATACTGTGGTCCATTTGCATTTTTGATGGGGTTTTTATACCGTCAGGGGCCGAGAAGACCTAGATTTTACAAATTTCTCATGTTAGTAGTTAGTTCACGGCATAACTCAAAAAGGAGAACACAATTATCCGTCAAACTTTTACATGGGACAAGGAGCTGTTACATTTTGGAGGTTTTCCAGATCGCTGTCAGGATCCAGAAATCCTTTTCCCTAAACATACACACGTACCAACCGTGCCGCATGCTTATACACACATCTGTATACATATTTCTTGACTCTATTCCTTTTACACGCTTTAATTTGAAGCCTGAATCCTCCCTTTGTGTCACGTCTCCTGATTTATATCACCGCAATGATTCCTCCTAACGTCATGTGTGTGAAAGATGACCGAAGCCTCTGAGACCTCACATGCACACTCCACACTCCACTCTCCACAACACATACCTACAGCACGTAATAAGTCTAGAACGGGCGGGAAACCGAAGCCCGGGCTCGATAGATAGACGTCAAATGAATAATAATCCTTAAAAGGGATGAGCTTTGTGGAGGCTGCAGAGATGAGGTGAATGGAAGGTTTAGTACAACGGGAAAATCTCACAACGGAACCACACGTGATCACAAATATACACACTTTTTGTTCGCACGACTGGTATAATCACGCACGCACACATCCAGCTGTTTTGTCTTCTTTTCTGGTCTTGATTTCGGCTTTCAAAATCTGCTGATCTTTGCTGTTTTGATGGTTTGGCTATGTACTGTATAGTTAGCTAGCTATTTTTGTGCCAAATTATTGCTGGCCTTTTTGATGATTATAAGAACATTTTGAACAATTTACCTCCTTCTTTGTGTGTTTCAAAAATATAGTTTTTATAGTATAGTATTATTGTCTTTCTTGATGTGACGTATGTATTCCAGTCAAATTTACAGGAATCATAAAAAGAGTGTATATTTTAAGACAAACAATGCTTAAGTTTGCCTTCATAAATATCATTATGTATTTATGGGTCCAGCACAGTGGCTGAGAGTTAAGAATTCTCGCTTCTCAACAAGAAGGTTCTTTGATTCCACCTCCGGACAGGGCCTTTCTGAGTGGAGTTTGCATGTTCTCCCTGTGTCTTTCTTAGGTGTCCTCCAGAGGCTCCAGTTTTCCCTACCACTAAAACTATCTACAATAGCTCCTCTCTCTCTCTCTCTCTCTGGGGCCAGAAATCTCAGTGGGGCTTTCCTGGTTAAATAAAAGTAGATTAAATGTGTAATTTCTGTTGTTGCCAATTTATTTTTTTGTATTATTATTTTTTTGCGATATTTTGTGCAGCTTTAGAGAGACACCAATATTTCAGTTTTCCATTCACACAAGTGTTTTAGTCGTTTATTCATTTCTCCATGTGCTAAGGTGCAGATGCAAAGTAAAACAGCATCTATTTTTTGTGTGGTTTTGTTTTAGATTAGGTTAAATTCAACTTTATTGTCAGTACAAAGTCAGATCATAGCAACGAAATGCAGTTTAGCATCTAACCAGTAGTGCAAGAGCGCAAGCATAGGATAATATTTACAACACAGATAAACATATTTGGATAAAAGTGAGACTGTACAAGCTGCTAATGCTAGTATATACATTAACTATGTGCACGTGAATATGTTGAATCAGTTTTCATACATACTAACAACAGCACAGCCGCGAACGATTATCTGAAACCATAATAGTCTATAAAAATTGGTGCGAATAGATGTTTTTTTTTTTCTTTTTTTTGCCTTCTTTGAACTGTAATCAATATTCTTAACGGCGCAGACATCGCACCACTTCCTTTGTTTGGATGATGTCATGCGGTCCCAAAAGAGCCATTGTTTCGCTGGAATGAGACGGCGAATCCGAGTCACAAACCTCTCTTTCTCCACGCCGCTGATTTGACCCAATGATGTCCAGGGTTCTGCATAGACTAAAAGTGTACATTCATGCGCCATTACTTCATCTTTCTTTGTTGAGAATGTTTTGAGAAGCGTGGCCTCTCTGCACCGCAGCAATGATCTCATGCCCGGTGCCTTTGCCTTTTTTTTTGTTGAGAGTTATGGCTCAAGATGGACGAAGGCAAACATGGTGCGTGTGAAGCTTTCCCACTAGGTCTAAACTTTGCCTGTTTCCCACCGGTCCGCGACACACAAGTGGACTTTGGACGACGTTAGCAAAGCCCCCCGTGTTTCGCCAAATGTCATATTCACAGCGGAAAAATAAGACGTATAAGGAGGTTTTTCTTAAATTATGTTTTATAGATATGTCTACAGGGCCAAATACGATTTAAATATTTGTTATCTTTTAGTTTTATCCTAAGTATAGCAGAGAATTCTTGTTTTTTGGCCTAATTCTGAGTTTTCTGAGGTTTCGACTATTGGAGTTTTGGACTATTAGGGACAAATTTATTTTCTTGTTCGACCTAGATTTTTTAACTGATTTGAAGACATTCTCATTTCTGGTGCAAATTGTGTTTATTTCAAATGTAGACTCCAACTTAGACAAACTTTTTTGACCCACAAGGAGCATTATTTGCACACAGTAACTCACACACACGCAATTAAAAATTTTAAGTAAAAAATGGATCGTAATAATTTGGCATTTACCACCGGTTACAGAACAGTATGAGTGAGGAGCACAGCACACAACACCAGATAAATAAACAATAACTCTGTACTAAAGTAAAATAAAATACAATATCTTGCTTTGATGTAATAAAAAAGCAAGTATATTTTCTCTGGCTGTAGCATAATAAGGAAGCAACTCTAAAATCTCTGGCTTTAGCATAATGAAGAATCAAGAATTAAGTATAACTTCTCTGACTTTAGCATAATAACAAGTAAGTATAAAGAATCCATTCACAGATACAGAAATGAAAATAAACTCGATATAGAATTATTAAAATCATGGTCATTAAACAGTTGCTAATAGTTCCCCATGCTTTAATTTCTTCTCCAGCTCATTTTCCATACTTCCCGCTTTTACAATGCACTTTTCGAGCAGTATTTGAGTGATAAGACACAGAAGCTAAGTGGAAGCAAGAGGCAAAGTGCTGGATAAAAATAAGTCCTGCTTTGTGCAACATAAGACGGCGGTTTGAAAGACAGGTATGAGGGGGACTTGAATTTTTTATTTTTTTCCTGAACGTGTGAGAGGATAGAGATGTGAGGCTGCCGCTGACTCTGCCGGCTCCATCTGCCAATGTTTTTGAGGCGATTATGAAAGCAGTGGGTCAGAGTGATGGAGGGAAGCAGGCTGGAAGGAAATGAGGCCATAAGCTGGGAATCACACGTGCCACAGACTAAATACATCTGACCTCTGAAACTGAAAGAAATTCTAAATAATGCTGCATTTCAGATTGGATGATGTCACACTCCCAGATGAAAAAGAGAGCGGCTGTATTCCCTATTAATATTTGACTCTGCGTATTTTTTTTCTTGATGATAGTTGAACGTCAAATGCCAGACCAAAACAATCTGTCCTCATCTTATTGGATAAATGTGATATATTTTGCATTTATGATAATATATAATAAAGAGCCTTTTGAGTCACTATTCTAGGGTGAGGATGGACTTCTCTTTTTCACTGTTTTTGTCTGAAAAAGCTGATGCAAAAATACGTGCATGTGAAAACCGCTTTGTGAGCGAGGAACTAGTTTGATGGATTATATGGTATGATTCTATTTCTTGTGGTTTAAAAGTTAGGTACCCGAGCTTTAAGAAAAAAAAAACTCTTCTTGCTCACTTTTTTCAAGGTAGTTTGAAGAACGATGGCACAGACTGGTTGCCTCATTTCTGTCAGTGTGCCCCAGGGCAGCTGTGGCTACAGTAGTTGTTTATTACCACCGTGTTTGGAGTGAATGGATAATAACATGTGAAGCGTCTTTGAGAGTAAAAAAAAGCACTATATAAAACTGATGCATATTGATATTATTATTATTAGTTTATTGGGAAAAAAAAAGGGGAATTTTGAACCTCCATCCATCCATTTTCTTCCGCTTTATCTGTTGCCGGGGTTTGGGCAGCAGTCTAAGCAGAGATGCCCAGACTTCCCTCTCCATACACACTTACTCCAGCCCATCCGGGGGAATCCTTTGTCTTCCCAAGCCAGCTGGGAGACAAAGTCCTTAAAAACCCAAAGGAAGACCCAGGAATGTTGACCTGATCTTGAATACCTAGCAGTTTAAATTATTGTTATAGATATCTTGACTATATCTTGACTATTCCTGGAATGGACGAGATAAAACTCTAAAATACCTACAGTATGACAGCAGTGACTTGTGTTAAAACATCCGTCAGATCCATCCCCTTCCAGCCACACTTACACTTACAATTCCTGGCATCTCTATGTAATCAAAGTTTCTTATCTAACGAAACAGGCTTGTTCAGATTCGCCGCATTCTTGGACTTCTAGTCAAGTCTACTGTACCTGCGCACATTAGCCAACCATTAGCTTTCCTTGTGTTTGGCTTCCTCACGTGAGCCCTTACATGGCTTTATTATCTCTTTCCTCCAACACTTGATATATAGCCCTGCATAAATCGTTACAAGACGTTTTGCTTTGCCTTTTTTAAGTGTCTTGTCAGCCCGCCAGCGCCTGTTCAAAACACACAAGACGAGACACGGCGATGACAAACGGACGAGCGGTATTAGCAGATGAAAGGCAGTCTTTGTATTATACCTTTTCACCCTGGCTCCTGTTTTCTCCCACGCTCACACACAACTTAAAGACTTAAAGCAGACGTACAGTGCTGGTGCATAGCCTCGGGGCTGACTATGACATCACCTATGGGCGCGACCGTTGTGCAGGCAGCGGCCCACAGGTCAAGTCAGTTATGTGTCATTCTTCTACTGTATTCGGTTAAGCCAGCGGGCGTGGTCAGGTTGCTTTAACGCGGCGAGGTGAGGTAATGGAAGCTCACAATGCGTCCGTTCATGGAATCCGGACATAAAAAGGGGTCTGTCTGCTTGTCTGCTGGCCACTGAATCTGCATGAAAATGTTAAGAAATGATGTAAAAGAAAAACTAACAAGGAGGGCTTTGAGGAGATGATGTCATTCTTTGTGCGTTTCGTTGGTGTGTGTGTGCGCATGTGCCGTTCGGAGCGCGTGTGTGTGGTCGCGGCGAGCTCATTCACGGCTTTGGCTCCGAGCTCAGAGCTGGTCTTTATAGTTTCTTCTATCCACTTCCAGAAAACCGCCTTAAGCCTGTAAGAATAAGTGTGAAAAGGAGCCAATTAGTAAGGTCTGGGCTTTCTGAAAATGCTATTAACACTAAACCTTGAGGTTATTTGACCGGTAATGCACTCAATATTGCTGATGTGTGATACTCAAATCAAGAGGGTTTTGGTCCAGCTCAACAGACCTCATTTTATGTCTTAAATCTGTTCAGCTGTTGTCAATAATCGTTCTGTTTTTTTGTAAATTGTCGTAAAATTCTTCATCCGTGATGTGAGCTTGTTTGACAAATACAGAAACTGAACGTTAAGAGTAGACACATGTACAGTAATTACGCAGCTTCTTTAAACAGGGATCTTGTGCACCAGAGTAACCTGGAAGTTTTAACAGTTCTTTTCAGACAGAAAGCATTTTATATCAATATGTGCAAGTGCAACACAACAAAGACGCCAGCCCACAGGTGTTAACCCAGTCCAAACAACATTGACGTGACGCAGTTTCTGTAGACCAGATCACTTGAATAATATGTCTAACGTTTGTCCATTTTGTTTTTCTATTGATAAAACTGAAATCAAGCTGATTACAAGCATGAGCGTCTACTCTCTGTGACATCACTAACTTTGGACCTCAGAACATGTCTTCCTGCTGTTTTCATATTGGAAGTGACAACAGTGCCCTCTGAAGTTCAGGCAGAGTCATCGCCACGCTGGAGTGGTACAATACAAAGTGTGTGATGGCGATCAGGTGTCGTGAGGCTTCAGGTGTCTCTGTTTTGATTGGACACGCTGAGGTCAGAAAGTGCACGTTCCTGCTGTGCGCTCCCACTGTTCTCCTTCAAAGCTGCAGCTCTTTGGCCTCTCCACCCCGTCTGACCTCGTCTCCATTACAGCGCACGCAGCTCCGGCAGATCAATGATTTCATTGAGAAGGAGCCAGTGGTGCCATTACGAGGTGAGCTCACCCTCCTCTGGGAGCGTGGCCACATTATTCTCAATGACCTGGCCATTCCTCGTCACTCATTACCTTTACCTCTTAGCCACTTAAGTGTCTTCCCCATCTCCTCCTCCTGTTTCTCTGCTTCTCTTGTGTTTCACGCTGTTGAGAACAGAGCTCTATTTTTAGTGCCAGACTCCTGCGGTCGTCACATCTGGCGCCAGTGGCCCCGGTGCTCTCACCCCTGCCCGTAGATACACAAACAGTGGCCCCACCCCAGCAAGGAGCAGAGGGGGGGGGGGCACAAAGGTCAAAGAAAATATCTATGACATCACCCCTGCTCTCCAGAAAGTGCTTGAGACTTGAGAAGTCTTTGGAGCCGAGTCGTGACATAATGCTCTAGTTTGTGCGGCCGGTCACTCTGCAGGTATGTCACAGACAGAGCTTTTCAGACCTGCATCTTCAAGTGGCTTTGCGACTTTCGACTTCACATGTACAAACGGAATGACGGAAAGCACATGTACGTCTCTCACGCATATGTCGCATGGTAACTGGACCCACCGAGGCCTGCTCCTAGTTTAGCTTTATGTAACACAGTTCTACTCCCCCCCCCCCCTCCTCACCCCCTCCTCACCCCCTCCTCCTCCTGAGTCTCATTGGCCTCACATGATGAGCTTGATGTCATTTTCCCCTTCTTGCCTCAAAAACGGAGAACAAAAACAGGCCAGTGTGAGTGTGTTTCGAGTGTTTATGTGAGTCTTTGCCAAATGTTTCCACCATGACGTGATCTCTCTCTCTCTCTTTCTCTCTCTCTCTCTCTGCTCTTCCCGTTCCCCTCCATCGCCGACTTTCTTAAACCATCTTAGCGCACGGATAAAAGCTGTACTTAAGCGTGCAAACATGAGAGAAATCCACAGATGCCGATCAAGACGTCAGTAAACTAAATATGCATATGACATGGGTCTATTGGGAAGAACTGACCACTGTGGTAAAAAAAAGAAGAAATATACAGAATAAAGAGAATGCTGTAGTGATGTCATGGTCACAGGATGTTGGGGATAGTTGCAGAAATCATATGATCTTAATTTAAGACATTACAGCACAGTCATGAGAGAGTGTAGTGTGTGGTCATCATAGAATTCACTGACAACTTTCTGTTTCAAGTTTTTTCTTGGTGAATCTTAAGAGTTTAACACAGAATCAGAATGAATGTGTGTTGATTTGGAATACTGTGCATTTTGATAATCATGATTTAACTGGACCATATAGTCGCTAAAACACATGCAACAAATGCTTATTATCGAGAAAATGAAACGAAATGAAATCCAGTCAATGGTATATTCGAGGCCGTGGAAAACTACAACTTGAACTTTTGCCGTTTTTTTACAGCCACAAATGTAAAGATTTACCGTCACAAAAAAGTAACACACCAACCAAGAAGTAAAAGAAAGAATCGACTTTATTTATTCAATATTTTAACCAAAAAGCGGTGCTGTAATTGTAGTTCTATGTCCCAGCTAAGATTTTGAATCACAGATATTTGGGTATTTGAATAGTTCATTTGCAAAACCAGATCGGTGCCATTAGACAAATATTGGATGGGCCTAAAACTTGCTCTTAAACAAGTCGTTTTTTGAAAAGCCGCGGATATATTTTAGTGCCATGCAAATTAAATTCCACCGCTTCTTGAGCAAATACTTTTAAACACATAATTCTAACTAGATTTTTTTTTTACCACATTTCAACATCTGTATTTGCAAATTTACTCATTCATTTACAACTATTTACTCATTTTCTTTTGAATAATAAGCAGAATTATTATAATTAGTTTTTTTCTGCAGCGACTTTGGTATTCCCCCACTGTAGCACTGTTATCTCATCAAATATAAAAATAGAATCAACTATTTCTGTTGAATGAATTTTATATAACTAGAATCTTCAACTCACTTTTTTAAGCCTCTTTTCCTTCATTTTTACCAATGTACAAAAAAAGGTATTAACTGATCTACTATAATAATTGACATATACAGGGTTAGCATCCATATGTGTAATGTTAGTATTATTACTTTTGTTATATTTTGTAAATTTACCAAAACAAAAAGTTGCCCACATACTTGCTCGAAATAAACACATAAATAACAAACTGTACCTTCTCACAAATCTATTAACACATTCATTTCAGTAGCTATAAAATAATAAATATGGCCGCCCTACATTCTCGACCTGAGGCGCTTTGCTGCGGTCCATTCATGGTGCATTCTTCGTGGCCTCTGGTGCATTTGAAATCTATCTGAAGCGCTCCTGCTCATCCCGACCCATCTCTGTCACACAGCCATCCAGCCGCACGGAATAAAAATAGTTTGTTTAAACCGTTACCTAGGCAGTGTCAACACTTCGGGTCAACAGAAGCAAAAGTAGAACAAGCCCACCCCCACGCACGCCTCATAACTTCACAGGCGAAAGATCCAGAGCCAAGTTTTTCAGCGCTTTTCGGTTCCAAATCTGCACCACGGACGCCGGCACAGATGCGGGATGGAAGATTCCTAAGTTGGGGAAGTAGACGGAAAAGAAGCAGTTCGCAATTAAGTTAGTTTATCCTATCCGCGGCTGGCTAGCGTCCATGAGATTCCATTCGTGCTGGGACTGCCCACCGCCGCCGCCGCTCCTGTCCTAGCGTCATTCCCGGGAACAATAGCGGATTCCTGTTTTCACCACATGCTCTTTAATGCACTTATCTGCACATTCCGTAGTGCTGCTTCCGATATTCTCATTCCCTTCTAGGCTAAACACTGACATTTGCTTTTCTTTTTCCAAGTATTGAGTTGTGCTATACTTAATATTAATTGATATCTATTTGTGGGCTCCTCATTCTTATTCTTCTGTAACTGGTGATGCAACACTGAAGATTCTTTCCTGTGGGACAAATAAAATATCTGTATAGGTGGATTTTCCCAAATTTCAGGAATGAAATGCCCTTTTCACTTTTTGAAATAACTCTGGTCTTCTTTGACGAGCAGATATCACCAGAATTACAATGACAATTAGGAGGACCAATAGTTTTGATGATCCACCCAGAAGTAGAATATTCGCCTGTATACCAGAATTCAACTTCAGAATTCATCTTGTGATTTTTGCAATTTTTATTTTTTATTTTGGCTGTTCCCAATTAAAAAAAATATATATATGTTCAAAGATACATTTTTCCTTGATTTCTGTACATTTTATAACATTATTTTGATAAAGCTTGGCTACCTAACTAGCCTTTCTGTCGCGTGGCAAAACCATTTAAACCCAAAACGCAGAACTGAAAAAGTTAAGGATTTAATAAAATAAAATAGAATTGAGAGAAATTGACAACAAAGTTACAAAACAGGGTTTAATGACAAGAAATAAAACTGACATTGACAGAGCAGGGAGTGAAGGAACTCACAGGGTTTAGATACAAGACTAACGAGACACAGGTGATGCTAATGAGGGCGGGGCAGGGAAGCAGGAAACAGGAAGTACAACTAAAGGAGACACAGGGGTTGACAAATGACAAAATAAAACAGAAAATTAACCTAAACCATGACATCCTCGCTCTCTTAACAGTTTGGATTACTAGTTTTCACATGTATTTTTGACCATTTTTAAATCAGCTTCTTCAGACAAACAAGTGAAAAAGAGAGGACCGCCCTCACTCACCTCTCAGCCAATCAGCTCTCAGCCTCAAGGTTCAACTTGTGACTTATACCAGCTTTAATATGGTATGTAAAAAGACAAAGACGGTAACATTTTACTTTTACACAACTCTTTCTGTAGTGAAAAACAGAAATTTGGCAAATTCGGAATAAAAGGAAAAATGATGAGAAATGTATTGCTTCAGAATTTGTTTATTCTATGATTTTACATTTGATCTTGTGACGTATTGTTTCTACAATTCAGATCAAGTTACATTTGATCTTTTCCCCGCTCTCGGCAGCAGTCCTGGGGGTTTTCCTGCTATATACACAGACGTCTTTTTACAGTAAATAACATACATAACTTGACCACATGATAACTTTGAACCTAAGCACAACGGCTCCTCCAACTTCCTGATAAACAAGGGAGATTTTGCCGTCTCCCTTGGCAACAGGCTAATTTTGGAAGGCCCCGGATTGAGGAATGCTGCACTGTTGTTGTTGTCGGCTTGATATTCCAAACAAAATCATAATGGCCGCCCCAAACTTGCAGAGATAAGTCGCTTTAGTTTAGTTGTCTAACGGTTTCCTGTTTGAGATTAAGAAACTTGTGGTGTCCCCTGGGTCTGCGCTGATATGAACTGATAGTAAATGTGGTTTTGAACTGGGAGCAAAGAGAAAAGGTGGAACTTGAAAACATCCAAGTTTGAATTCTATCTTTTGAAACTGCTTTTCTTTATTCCACGACAATCTTTAAAAAGGTGCTGTTTATGTTACAAGCTATAGTTCTTACATGACGCTTTTTTAGTTTCAATGAATTGGATCCTGAGGGTAAAATCTGATGGACGGCTCGGTGGCGCAGCGGTTAGCGCTTGTGTCGATGTCATTGTCAATGTCAGCGTTATTTGTAAAGCACATTTACAACAACACCAGCTGTCCAAAGTGCTTCACATGCACAAAATATATATATAAAAAAGAAAACAGCATAAAAAACTGTACATACACATCATACATCAAACCCGGGATCGTTTTGATTCATAGCAAAAAGGTCCTGGGTTCGATTCCTCTCTGTATGGAGTTTTTTCCTCTGTCTCTGCGTGGGTTTCCTCCAGGTGCTCCGGTTTTCCTTACCACTAAAAAACATGAATAGTTCAGGGTGAATGAGCGTGTGTTTGTGAGTGCGAGTGTGAGACAATGAATGCAAATTAGCCCAAAGCTACACTCTGGAGCTGTGTGTTACTAAACATGCACTGTCCCAACCAAATAAACTGTAGATAGATAAATAGATCAATCTAAATCCTGCTCAGTATACCTATATGCTTACCCTTTTTATCCTCAAAAAGCTTTTTGTTTTCCTTTCTACAAATATAAACACTGACAGCTCCAAAGTATCTGTGTAGGGCTAAAGCTAGTTCACAAAAGTTTATTATTGATAACTGACATCTCTGACAGTAATTGAAAAATATCTTACAAAGGCCTTGAACGTGACATGAATAGAGGTTGTACTCAGTCAAAGCTGTAATTACATCAAAATCACAGAAAAGACTTATTATTGTTTTACCCTGGTTATTTCCTAAAGTAGCCTTGCTTTTGCT